TTGCAACTTTTTCTGTCTACAGGAGAGAGTGAGTAGGTCTGTGTTAGCAGGCAATATAGGAGACGGTTCCATTGCAAAATATGTTTTTCTCAGGCCTTTGGCATGGAATTAGTTTGTAGGCACCTTAGATATCTAAATACCTCCACGTGGATAGTCAAAAAGATTCGTGTTTGTGTGCAAATGGATGTTTCTGTATTTATGAACAACTACTTACGCCCCAAAGTATTTGGATTTAGTGGAGAAATGTCACCAAATACAGATCCAGAGAGAAGATGAATGTAGAAAAATGGATTGAAAATACAGAGTCCATGCTGAAAAGGTTATCAGAGATTGATTGAGTTGATTCAAATGAAAACATGCTCAGCTATTTTCAGAGAGGAGACTGCCTTAACTCTTTTGAGTCCTTGCAGACCCAAGCAATCAGGAAAAAGAGTGGCATTTCCAATTGCAGAGCAGAGCAATATGAAAAGGACATCCTCATGATTTCAAGGAAAGTCAATTTTTGAAGCTGAAGGTCATGCTTTACTTCACTTAGAAGTAAATATTCCCGCAAATATGTTACAGATTACTCTGCTGCCTAGTTTTGAAGGACCAAACAAAGGTCATACAAAATCTGTAAAGTATGTTTCACCAGATTCCAAAATGTATTCAGTATTATACTGGATTATTCAGTAGCTCCAATAGACTTTCATCTTCCATTTTCTTGCTTCTTGGGGTGTCGAGTGGTGAGTTTAGAGTTTAACTATAGCTCCAGAGGTGAGATACTCTTGCACGAAAAAAATGTTCATTTCATGTAGTTTGAAGAAAATCCAGATTGAAAAAGTTTATTGATTTATTAATGACATGTAATCAACTGGCAACCAGTGAGCTATGCACTCAAAACTAATAGCAGTAATACAACAGAGAAACCACAAAAGTAGGCACTTAAAAAAGGGTAATAAACAGCTACAAATTTATAAATATACTTCTATAAGTAACTCCATGAAGTCCTAATCAGAGGCAACATCTCCAACATGGTTTTGTGCCCCCAGCCCCACAGGTAGCACAGGTTACGAACATAGGCCCCCTTTTGTGAGGGTGCAACTTCCCAATTGGCACGTCTCTTGTTGCACATGGGGGCACTCCAGCTTGATATGTGGTCCCTGCTTCCTGCCCACCTTTTGGATACAGATTCCTCATGGATAAGCAACTCTGGTCTAGGCAGAAGCTGTTTTGCCAAATGGATGACTTCAGGCAGTGCCAAACTAGGTTTAGGCTGCTGGTGTTCCTACTCCAAAGCCTCTCCCTGCTGCTACAATTTTTTATGCTCCTTTTATAATTTTTTTTTATATTCCTTCAGATTCCCTTTATAGTCACTGGAGGGGCAGAGCAGTTTTAGCCTACAGTTAATTTCACTGTTTTGACATGTCTACCTTTGAATGATATAAATCTTGCTTGCCAGGGTCTGCATCCTGCAAGGAAATATAGAAAAAATAGGCATTTAGTTAGTGCACAGGTATGTGACACGTAGTCTTCCAGGGTGGGATTCACCTCCAGATTATGACACCTAAATATCTTCATGGGTGCTGTGCCTCTCAACTTCTATTACAATAAACAGAAAGCTACTTAAGACAGTCAGTGAATGTAGTTCTTTTAATTTTGTATTTACTCCCATCTCTGAAGTCAGTTAAGGAGAATCTTACTTTTTTACCATGAGGCAGGACTGAGCTAGAAGGCGGTCCCAGAAGGATTGCACAGTAAAAATGATTAATATCTACTATGTAGTGTGAGAGTAGCCCAGCCCATGTAGCCTGCATGCTGTGCCCGTTGCTCAACACGCATTGAGTAGAGGTCTTAAAACAAGGGGTGGCTACAGAAGGGTCTGCGGCTCTACTGGCTAAAGCGTTTCTAATCCAGGCAAAAACCCTCAGCTAACCATTTAGCTAGCTGGCCTAGTCTGCCCCAGAATTTCCCCTCAGAAATTCATTTGCAGAAATCATGCCAGAGGAGCATCTTCTCTAAAGAATTGCTACAGCAGCCAGAACATCCAGCCCTGTAGATGACACATTTGTCTGCTCTTTGTGAGCGTCCATGAGTCTGTGCATGCAGGTTGCAAATGGGAATTGTGTTGTCGATTATATTATATCTTTTCTGAATATTGGGCTTTAAACTAATGTTTTGGGGTATTTTTTGAGGAGCTGGTGGAATCTATGTCACTGATATCATAAGGCTTGTTTTAATGACTGCAGATTTTATAAAGTGAATGTCAAACTGCAAGGAGAAAAAGCCTTTTAAAATCAATATTGAGTTAGCCAGATAAATCATTTTTTCATTGGCTTACCCTAAAGCAAAAGTAGTTATCAGAGAGCTAAAATTCAATGAGTTAAAGTTAATCTTAAGAATATTTATGTTTCTAGTTTGTTCTGCCTTTAGAGAAAATGTGTGCTTCAGCCACATAATTTGGCTGCATTTACGCATTTTCTAAAAGCATTATATAAACATATGCAGCATACTGAGGACTGCATGCAGCCAGCTTGTGGATGAACCTTTTCAAGCTCCTGAGAAGCTTTGTAATTCTATATACAATGGTGTCATTGTACAATATATACATGCATGTGTGCATTAAATTTTACAGCCTACTAAGGTTTAATCCCTATGCCTGTACTCAAAAATTTGCCAGGCAGAGGTCAGCTTTCTCCCAGAGTAAATTCTGGTGTTTCCCACCAGATTTTTTTTTTTCCATTCTGTTATCTTTTTGCTATTCCATGCTGCTTTTAATCAGACTGAGTCACTAATGAAGTTGAACCTTGCTGGAGCAAGTCTGTTTCCTTTGAAGGTGAGAGAACAAACATGAATAGTGATCATGTGAAATAATCTTCAGCTCAGTAAGAATTATATTTTGTGGTTGAACGCAAATATTTATAAAGAATAAGACTCTTTTTTCATGAATTGAAATCAAACCTGGACTGTTTATTTTTCTGATGTCTTTTTTGGTTCTGAACTATATTGGCTAAATATATATTTCAGTCATTGTCTTAGAATAACCATTGTCCTAAAACCTGAACATCTTCTATTGAGGACCTGATGAGCTTGATTTTTTTTTTTTGATCTGTCTAGGAAAAGCTTTATCTGTAATGCAGTTCCTAGGAGCAGCCAGCATTATTTTTGTGCCTTTTCTGTTGGAAACAGTTTGCTGTTATGGCAAATAACATGCCATGAGCATCAATAGGGCCAATCAGCCTCTTTTCCTAATTCAGACTGGAAGCATATGCATTATATATCTGTTGTGCTGCATGTGCTAAAGAACTCGTTAAGTTAGGCTAGTAGGGCCTTTATCTGCCTGTCTTGTCCTTCCTCCTAATAACCTCCATTTCTCCATACAAAATTCTGCATCCCATGCAGATTCCCATGCAGAGAAGCAACACACCTCCCACCTTAGCTCCTCAGTATCCTAGATTTAGGAAAATAGAGAAAAGCTGGTGTAGGAGGAATGTCAGTGATGTCCATAATCTGACTACAAAGCTTCATCTTTGTGTTATTCCACTGGGGAAACACGGTTTTCATATGTTAGTGTTGGGGACTTTGGATGTCTTAGTGTTGGGACTCCCTCTCGATCTGTTGTGTCAATGAAGTAGTGCATGAGGTGAGGATATGCATAATCTCTTTCTACACAGCAGTTCCAGGGCTTTTTTGCCCTAAAGATTCATGCAACCGAAGTACAAATAGAAAATTATTCTATGGCGTAAAGGGAGTTTGAAGTAACTAGGAATTGCAACATAATGCATATATCCAAAGGTTATATATGCAAATGAAGTTTCAAACAGCTTTGTCAAAAGCAGAAAAAAAGAGTTCCAGGCTTTGCAGTCTCAGTTCATTTGTGTGCATGAAGCACATCATTGCTTTATTTAGTAAAGCTTGAAAAGGATCTAGATGTTAGAATAAACCAAGAGGTGATAAGAACAGAAAGACAGACAAAGCAACTTCCTACGTACCAGTTATTTACCAGCACAAGAGGTTGGAGTTAGTGGCACTGAAGAGAACAAAACGCAAAGGAAGATCATCTCCTGTTTGATTAATTTCTCATAGCTGTCTATAGGTGATTATATAGTATCATTTAAAAGGGTTTAGAGTGGAATATCTTGCCTGAATATCTGGCCTGTTAACTGTAATATCTTGCCTGAAAAAAAAGCTTAAAACCATTCATCCATGCCAGTGCAGACAAGTATGGTGGGCAGCATCTGTGCTCCCAAGGGGAAGCTCAGTGAATCAGAGAAAACCGCGGGATCAAAGGCAAGCAGAGAGATCAGTTCCCTGTGGCTTGCATGCTCTAGTCTTGTTACTTGTCCTGCTAGGACAAGACTAGATGGGGACAAAAAATATATAAAAGCTCTTCTAAGTCAATTTTGTAGGGTGAATTTGTATGACTGATCACAGCAGCAGGGACAACAGTGTTAATGCAGGCCTGTCAATATGTCATTGGGAGGATTCCTATAGCTGAAATCCTTAGTGTATGGCAAGATTCCCATCAAACCATAGGCTGTGACTGATGCCGTAGGTAGCTCACAGTGACTGTGACCATAGGGTGACTGACCCTTTTTTCAGCATAATCTTTCTTATATATTCTGTTTAAAGCTTGTTAACTTGAGATAAGGATTTGTAGCCAGAGTTCAAGTGTGATAATCCTTGGCAGAGTAATTTAACTGTGTGCTGTTACCATGAATTTCTACTGTTGAAGAAATTAAATGTTGCAGTTTCAGTTGCCCATAACTAGTTAATAGCAAAAGGTAAGTTTAGACTGTGCATCAGCATTTTTTAATGACATTATTACAAAGTTTATTTATGGTATACTTACTTATAAATCAGTCTGTATTGGAATGCCCAATGTAGTTTTTGATGCTGCTTTTCATTACTGTGGAGATGAATAACAACTAAAGTTGGCATTCTGAAGCAAGCTTTTTAATGTGTTATCTCAAGCATTGCTTTAATGTAGAGGTATAAAATATATGTAAACTTTTTTACAGCTGCAAAGATTTTTTGAGGTGTTCTTCAAAAGCACTTCTCCCCAACAAGCCTTTAACAACATGAAAGAAGCTATAAGCAAACTCCTGCTGATTACTGAAGTCTTCAGTGAATCATCTGCCTCAGGACCAAACTCTTTCAATCAGTAAGTACCTTCCAGCGGTCACTCACTGCTATGCTTTTGTCAAATAGCTCCTTAGAACAGAATCGAAAGACTGTATGTCCTAAAATAACAAAATGTCCTAATATGTTCTAAAATAACCGCCCTCCCTCCTCCTCTATTTCATGCTTATTAGAATGAAGTGAGGATATGTGTCGCATTTAGGGAATAGAGCTCTTTACCATCTAGTGTTTCTGACATTTAGATGAATATCTAGTTATGATGAATACCTAGGACTATATTATGTGTCCCATTAAGTGGTTCAGGCAGAACAAATTAACAGAAATCATCCACAAGTGACATGAAAACACTGTGTTTCACTTCAGTGAGCTTGCTGTCATATATCAACTGGTTAAGGTCAGAGTAGCCTCAGCCCATTTGGGTCTGCCCGGGGCCTGGCATCTGAACCACAGACAGTTGTGAATAAGGTAAAGTTCACAGTTGTGACTGTTAAAATATACCTTATGAATAATACTTAGGCAGCAGTGTTCACTTTTATGTGAGTGTTAAATCTTTGTGATCACTTCTATTTTTGTGTTTAAATTGCTATATAAAGATCAACATTTATATGGACTTTGTTTATTAATTAAGATTAATACTTGTTCGATATATGTTATAACACATTTCTGGCATTTTTACGGTAAATAACAAATATGTTACAATTTATTATGTCTCATAAAGATTTATATATATTATAAAGCTATTTGAGAACCCAACTGTTTTAATAGCAATAATGTAAAGCTCATTATTTGGCTTATGCAAGTTGGGAATAAAGCTTACATTGTGGGCCCAGAGGGTGCATAAGAAGTGAGGAGTGTAACAGGAGTAGGGCTCTTCTGACTGTGCTCCAAACTCCAATAGCTGTTTGTCAGCAGGAGGGGTGTCTCATATGTACGTAGCCCAAAGATTTGCTTAGAGTTTGTGGTCCAGGCCTTCAAATGTCTCCACAATTGCAACAGAGATCCTTGGGCTCAGCAAGCCCAGAGAGTTTTATTTGCTAGACATCTACTCCCCTCCAGACGTCTCCAAAGCTTTTGTGGGACTTCTTATCATCCTCTAGGCAGATCCTAGAGCATTTCATCCTCTAGGAAGTCAACCATATAAACAGTTCACCTCCCTTATTGCTTGGGAAGTCAACCAAATAGTCTATAGCACTTTCTTCATCGGTCCATTGTGATTCTCTCTATATTTTAGTTTTCTGATTCTTCTTGGAAATTTAAAAACTGTTGTTTGTTTTCTCTGGACATTCATGTATGTTTTCAGTCATGGTGGTATATATACCAAAATAGTAGCTAACCTCACTGTATCTGATTCCTGTTATACTGTATTTCAGATGCAGCCAATGTTTCCAGATGCTAACCTTTGATATTGGATTCAGTGCCTCCATATATCCAGTAGTTCTTGAAGTAAGCAAATTGCAATGCATTTCTTATGGATTTTTTTTTGTCTCCAGGAGTGCCCAGATGTTAAAAGTTTACCAAACAAAAGAAGAAGGATGTATGAAAGTGGAGAGTTTCTGCGGGAGAAAGATTATAAATAGACAGGGCTGCTGTAATGAAGTTTCCCACATTCAAATGTGTGAACCTTTCAGTTAGTATTACAGGACTATCATCCCATCCACCCCATCCAAAAATCAGCTAAATGATACTGATAAGAAGCATTGCATGCTACGAAAGTTAGGTATTATCTATCTGTGCCAAAACACAGCTGAAGCAAACATGTTAAAAGATCACAAATACCCTTTAATAACTTTAGTAAAAGTTAAAGGTCTCCATGAATAGTACTGTACTTCTTCAGTCCATAACCTGCTTTGACCTCCACTATGCTGCTTTCCCAACTATTCCTGAAACCTTTTAAAGCGGAGAGAGATGGCAACAGTGGCACAAACTCACTATGCCATGTTTGTATCACTTCTGTCTCAGGAAAAGCCCAGTGAGCCACAACATTTGTTATGCTTCCCAGCTGCTTTTCAGTAGTCCTTATATATATATAATATCTTTATCTATATTTATCATAAACAGAAAGCTAAAAAAGTTATGCCTATGTCTGGTGAGATTACAGGAGACAACTTTTTAAAGTAATCTTTAGTTAAAATCTACGCAAATTGCCAATAACAACAGCACAGTCAGTCTCTTCAGTGCTTCACAAATCATGGCCCTTTAAATACACAGAAAAGAATGGACTCATATGAAGACTTAATAAGTTGAAAAGAGTATTTTTAGCTAGTATAGAAAATATGACATGTCATCTCACTTTTGTGGTGTTTATGAAATTAACTGTAGATTACAAATAAATTCTTTTCTTCCATTAGCTGCTTAAAACTATAAACATAAAGCATAATCTTCTGGTAGAGCTATCATATTTACCTGCCTGCACAGATGTCTCACCCATCAATCATTATAGTAAATCAGTAGTGTTCAGTATATGAAATAAAACATAATTATTCTCATAAGTTAATAAGATTTTTTTAATAAGCATTGACTGACATTTTACCTTGAATAATATTGACATAAAGCTGAGGTATTTGTACATCCCAAACAGCTTAAAGTTGCCTTTATGTTTATGCTGTAATATTACTTCATTTATATTTTACAAACATGAATGTTATTCGCGTTTATATATTGTAAAAAATACATCTTCATCAGTGATAACTCCTAAATAACCGAGTTTTGTAAGGGATATATTAATATTTGAACTGACTTTTTTCCCATTAATTTTCAAATCAAGCGCATTTAAGAATAGCTATGAGATAAATGAGAATGCAATATTGTACTCTACCCACTGGAGGTCAGCAAACATTATGGTGTGTAGTTATAGAAAATGTAGTTATGCATTTGCTATATTATAATCCTGTCTTATTTATGTTAATATTGTTTTTTATATAAATACTTCCAGTTTAGCGCACCTAATTTTGGAAAGACTGGACTTGATAAACAGATTCCTACATTGTTTTCCTTTAGGTGCATGATAACTTTGATTTTCAAGATGAAGATGAATCAAGTATTCAGGACCAAACTTTCAGAGAATTTCTTTTTGAAGACACTTTTAAATTTCTAATACCCAATGAAGCATCAACTTCCAGTTTCATGGAAGCTTTACAAAACATATATGGATCAATTATGAGCAAGGTACTTAAATACACCATTTTTAGAATCATAGAATCATTAAGATTGAAAGGCACCTTTAGGGATCACCTAGTCCTTCCCTCTGCACACACAGGTTCACCTACAGCATGTTACACAGGATTGCTTCCAAATGGATTCTGAAGTGTCCAGAGAAGGAGATTCCACAACCTCTTTTGACAGCCTGTTCCAGTGCTCTGTCACCCTCACTGTCAAGAAATTTTTCCTTAAATTAAGTTTTTGTGTTTTTAATTATTAAAAAATATTCTAAATTGTATTTCACTATGAAAACACTGGTGCCAACTTACAAAATGAAATATTTATTTATTCACAATGCTTGATTTTTCAATTCTGGGGAAATCATGAGAAAAACGTAATTATATTGGCCAAAAAAAATCCCAAGCAAAAATTTCCCTCTCAAAGTATGTCATTTCCCAAATTACAGTATGTTAAAGCTGCATATAAAGCTTTAATAAAATCATTTCCCTGCCATTTATTTTTGAAATGGCCTATTTTTTTAATATGAGTTTGTGTGTTTTTGTAAACCTAGAACACATTGACTGAAATAAGTAGATATACAAACATTAGAATTAAATTTGAGTTCCTACAGCATTCTATCTCGTTTGGAATGCAAGACCAATTATCAGATTTTTTTTCCCATTTGTAAGGTCCATATAATGTCTCCATTACTTGTGAAAACTGTTTCTGATGAACTGAGAGCTTCCCTAGCAGCCTTTCCCTCAATATGGGCACTGGTAGGGGGCATTTCTGCAGTGTCCTATTTTGAGTGCTTTTAGGGATAAATTTATCTGTGAAACTACTACTTCTTTGTATCTTGTATTTGTATCTCGTCAGATAGATACAAATAAAATAGGCTCGTGGTTTCTAAATTTATGTCAGGAAACCACAGATATATTATGATCATTTAAGTCTTGTTCCCTTAGGACATCAGATCATGTTTCAAACTGGCCGCTTTGCGCTCTGTATTTTGTACACTCTGTTCCAATGATAATTCTAACATGTCAGGTTCTTTTTTACACAAAACTAATACGGAGTGTAATTTACTGTAGACTGTGAAATGGGAAGACCTAGGAAGGAGCTCACTTATCATGATATTTGAACGAGGTTAGACCACGTGGAGAGATGTTGTAGCTTATCCCCTTGATCACCAGTGGGAATGGGGCTAATGAAAGCACATTGTCTTCTAAGTATATTCATGAACAAATGTCACCCTTTTCTTCATAGGATGGAATCTACCAGAAAGAAGATGAACAATGTTTATCTTTAGAAGAAGTCCATTCAATTAATAGTTTTGTAAAAGAGCTGAAGAATCTTGGGCAATTTGAGCTGGTAAAACAAACAATTTTGTTAAAACTTATATATATTTAATACAAATTTGTTAACATACTTCCTTGCCTTTGTCAGGACAAATATAAAAAGTATTGGGTGCAGAGAAGAACAGGCTGATATTAAGGATCAAAAAGGAAGGACTGTAGGCATACTTTAAAAAGTGTCTGAAAGAATACTTTTATTTAAGAGGGAAATAGTTATCTAGGTCTGAAAATCGAGAGGCTTTGAAAGGAAAAGGAGTCAGACTTTAACCTCAGAACCTGGTTTACAAGGATAGGCAAGAGTTATTTTCTAGATGTGGAAAGAACATTTTCATAAGCATGTAGCATAGAGATGCATAATAATATTTCTATAAGCTATCTGCACTCAGTTCTTATATTTTCTACTTCTTTGGAAAAAGAATATTATCACTCACAGCCCCTAATCAATGTCTTTCTTCTCAGCTTTTCCCATCTACTGCACCCCAAATCCAAACTTTGCTGCACGACCTTTATCACATGGTAGACCCAATGAGGCATCTTGGTTCAGTCTTGACTATACATTGGTTGCTTTCCAGTTTGCTTGAAAAGTTCCAGTTCATGACAAAAGAGTCACATGCAAATCTCGCAGAATGGTAAGATAGCTATTATATAATATGCATGTTTTCTCAATAGATATAAATTGGAATAGCTCCAGTGAGTGCCATGAAACTTAATCTTGTGGTAGATGTAGACACATTTACAGCACTTAGGATGAAGGTCCATCATCCCATCATGGAGTACTGCCAGCCATTCTGCCATTAAGACTCCAGCTAGATTTTCAGAGAGGACATAGTTTTGCCCCTTTGTTTCTCTAACGCATTATTTTTGGGGTTAGAGAATTAACTGGAGCTATACTAAGAACATTTCTATGAAATATAGAGTGAGTTGGATAGGTTGTTCTAGAATAACTATGATTAGGAATATTTACCAGACAAAGTTAACCGGGTGATTTTTTTCCTGGAAAAAATAGGAGTGTTTACCAGAGTTAAGACTGTCCTTTAATTTATTCACCAATTAAAGGAAAAACTATGAAAAAGAAGCTATTTTTTTTTTCTAAAAGAGATTAATATTTTTGAGTTGTTCTAAACTGTCCATGTGCAACAGGAGACAATTAAAAGGGCACCCATACTCTAAGAACCTCATTTATGTATTTTAAAACTGAAAAATGTTGTAATGACAGGCTGGATCTATTGAGCTTCTGGCAAGATATATTTTAACTTTCATAAGGAGGGAGGGAGAAAGAAAAGAAGGAAGGAAGAATAAGAGGGAGAAAAAGAAGGAGGAATGAAGAGAGGGGGGAATAGAGAAAAGTTGCGGTACACCATGTATTTGGAACGAAATTTAAAAAAGAAAAAAAAAAGTGTTTTCCAGGCTGATTGTTTCCTGGCTAAAGATATTTCATGCATATATTTGCCATACTTCTTTTCTGGATGCAGGCATATGTTATATTCTTTAGGCAAAAAAGGGCTCAGGAACTCTGGCACATTATAAAATGTGTGTACAAACAAAATTACCATGTCCATTTTGCTTAGAAAATACTAGAGCCAATACATAAGGTGACTGTAAAACTTACTTAGTTTTAATTTCATTTTTCTGTGGGTGTAGCTTTCAACAAGTCAGCCATCTGTATCTTTGTTTGCCTAACTATAAAGCGCAGATTATGCTTTACCATTGTTCCAGGTAACTGTTTATTAGTGTTTTGAAAATACACAGTTCCATGAATGTGTGAAGAATTATTGCTGTTACTGCTGACCACTCCATGAAAAGTAACTCTAAGATGCAGCTGCTTGCAGTCATGAATAAGCCCTTGCCCTTATGCCAAAATATTTAGCTTTGCATATCAAAGCATACCAACCTTTAGCAGCTTTCTGTTCTAATCTAAGCTATGCCACTCATTCACTTTATGCAAGCCCCTTGGCTTCATTTTTTTTCTTCAAGTTGAACATAACTGTATAAATCTCTAAAAGTACCATGACCCAACTGCAGGCCATAGGCCAACATAGCTTGTGTTCTATTTTTCTGCAATGGCTAAGTTAATAAAGCCATTCTGACAATGTTCTGTCAATTTAGTCAATTACTAAATTACAAGCTCCCATCCTCATAGTAACGTATGTGTGATGATGACGCTTGTACCAGATATACGCATAATTATACATAATTGCAAGAAAGCAAGTGGTGAGTAAAGCTTGCTTCCTGAGTATCTCTGGTAAGTATTCTTTGAGATTGGATTAATCTGTCATTAGTCTGTAGGTGAGTTTGACACCAGGACACTTTGCCTGAATTTCTTCAGTTTAAGGCCAAGTAGTTTGGCTAGTTATTTTAGCTGTTCTCATTTCACTTCCTATGTAAAATTGGTATTTCCCTTTGCAAAATCTGCTACTTACATAGTTGACTGTCCAACCAGACAAGCATGGATATTTATAGCAAAAACAATGACTTTTGACTTAGGTTTTATACATTTACACAGTTCACCAATCATGAATGGCGATAGAATTTAAAGACGTTTTCTGTCCTTCCTTTCTCATCTACATTACTAATGTTGAAATCTACAGTGACTTTAGTAAACTCTCTGAATTTCTTCCACAGGAGAAGCAAGAAGAGTTCTAGAAAATCACCTCAAACTGTAACGAAATGGTTAAAGCCCAGGTGAGAATGAGTCTCAGAGGTATTGATGTGACAAAATTCCTTGAAAGTGATGAGGTATTACCTAATATGTACACTGAAATTGATTTTATGTTGTTTATGCCCTGTTTTTGAACCCTGTGTATTTTCAGCTTTTGATATGACTAAGAGGTATATGCTTTTTTTCTGTCAGAATAGGAGCTATGAAGTACGTACAAACAAGCACATACAAACACTGTTTGACTGGGTCAGACAGGGGAAAAGCAGAGTTATGTGGAAGACTAACCCTTCCGTATTTGCATAAGAAACAAGCCAAAGCAGGTCGATAAAGCTGTAAATGCTTTTATGAGATCAGCTGATATATGTGGAAAAAAACACTGTGAGCTTCCAGTACACCAATCCTTCTTTAGATCTAAATAAAAGCTGCAGCCTTCAAACTGAATTTAACCTGAGGATAATTGTTTGGATTTTAACTTGGTCATGCTCATCATGAGGGCAGTTTGAGAAACAAGTATGATTGAGGCTATGGTGAAGAAGAGGATGACAACAAAGAAATCTGAGATAAGATTGCTAATCTGCAAAGGAAAAGAGAGATTTGGTACTAAATGCCAAGAATCCATCTCTTGAGTCTGCAGTTTTGTAGTTGTCCTTTGAGGATGAGCATAAGATACTTTATTCTAGTGAACCAAATGCTCTTGTGGAAAATATATCTGCAATCAAAGAAACAACCTACAGCAAATAGAATCTACACTGACAGTTGATGAAAAGAAAAAATCTCTAGTGATGGTAGCTCACAGATGACCTCCTGTCGCCACCCACAACTAACATAGCTATCAGATGCCGGCTTACATCTTCAGACCGTCAGGGCTATGTTAGCCTTTCTCTTTAGCTAAATCACAGCGAATTCTAAAACAAGATTTGTTGTCAGTAGACTGGATGGCACATGGTATTGGTCACTCAAAAGGTGACTCCACAAACATGTGCTCACACAGATTTCCCTTCATCCAGTGAAGTTCCTTGGAACTACCTGCAAAGTATTTAGGCAATGTGTTCCTCTACACTCAATAGCTCATAGGTGATACTGACTAAGGCAAAATAAGGCTGAATGTCCCTTGAATAACAACATCTGGAGGAAAGTTTCAGCAGAGTCAAGGGTCTCAGCCACTCTGCCTGACAAGAGCTTCCTAAGTGAATCATTCCTCAATCCTGCTGACTGGAAGAAACTTGGAGAAAAGAGAACTTGATGATGCTAACGATTAAAGAGCTAAGTCTTCAGCAGAAGTACATTCATTTGGTTATCTTTCTGTAATACTGCTTCTAAATATTACATTCTGTTACCCTGATATAACTAGGTAGATTAGATTAGGTAGGTAGATAATTAGATAGATAGATTTCCCATTGTCTGATGACGACCACAATCTCTTCGCAGAATTGACATACACAGTTCAGAGTACGTTTGGGACCTGGGGAAGTTCCTTGGAACTACCTGCAAAGTATATTGACATACACAGTTCAGAGTACTTTTGGGACCTGGGATCCTTGCAGTGGTGGTGGCTAAAACGCTCCTGTGGTGTCCTAAAACAAAGTCTGGAGTTTTCTAGAGTTAACACATCTCCTTTTCACCTTACAGCAGAGTTTGTGACTGGGCACTGTGAAAAGGAGCACCAGAAAGTAAAAATATATTTAACAGGTGTTAGCCATTAACTCCTTGGCAAGCTGAGAGACGTCAAATGACTTATAACTTGGAAAACAAACTCTCTAATAGTTTGGTAAGCGCCTGCTTTGAAGGAGGTCATGAATGTGCATGAAATTAGGGCGGTGTCTAGACAGTGCAAACTCAGAACTTCATGTTTGTGCTCTCACAGACAAACACTGATCTGCCAAGGGCCATCTACTTCTTTATTATCTTGGTAAGATAACCTAGAAATCACAGTTTTAGTATAAGACTGTTTATATTTTACAAAAACGTACTTTAATATTACTTTCAGCAGCTCCTATTCATACGTTAGTGATGACTTATTGCATGGGACACTATTGACATCTCCCTCTCCCGTTGCAGAGAGTGACCTTGTATCCTTCAAAATCTTCCTTGGTGGAAGAGCAGGCATCCGGGAGGAAGCTGCTTTATGAGAACTTCCATAGGAAAAACTAGGAAGAAATTGGTGAAATGTCAATAAGAAATACTGCTGGACCTCTGAAAAACTCCTATCAGCAGAGATCCAGCACATGGATCAGAAATAAGTCTTTCTTATGCTATGTTCCCAGAATGCTTTTTGAATAAGAATTTAAAAAATGCTGATTTAGCAATCTTGGAGTAATTGACATGTTAACAAAAAGTTGAAATTGGCTGCTGCTTCTTTTCTCACTAAGGATACATACTCTGCGTATACCTTCTTTATTCTCATATGCTTAGCATGATAAGGAAATATTAATGCTGGGAACAGGAATCCAGAAGGATCATCTTTCCATGGAAATATTAAAATACTGTGTTCTATGGGTTGTCAGATATAAATTTTCAAAAAAAAATAATGGATTCTGTACTTTTCATTTATGTAGCATATTTCTACTGTTGAATTCACAGGAATTCTTCTCCAAAAAATGATAATATTAAGCGGAGTGCTCCTTTTGATTTAAAGAAGAATCAGGAAGGTAAGGGATCAGAGTGAGATAGTTAATATAATATGTATGTTTCCTGTTTTTATTATTTTTTGCCAGCCTTTAGATGACATATTTTCCAAATTTTTGCATTCCTTCTGGTAGATCTTATTTTTTTTACTAAATGTAGACCAATTTCTTCCTTCTTTGTGAAAATTGTTCTGCTGATCTCAAGGGCAGTATTCATGATCCTAAGGTAAGGAACTCATACTGAAAAGAATAGCAGCACACTGTATTTTTTTATAATTATACAATGAGAACTCCTTTTCCTGTAGGATGGTGAGCCAAATATAGAGCAGATAATTACTAATTGTTTCTCTTTATCTTTTAGCATTGCATTATTCCAGCAATACTAAAGAAAGACAATGTAGTTTTGGTAAGTAGCGTTCTTTCTAGACCATCCAGGGGAAAGAGGAGAGATTAACAGATTTTTTTTTTTCTGCATAAGATTTCAGTGACTGGATTACCTGTGGGTTGTTACATTAAATATACATATATTTTTAAGCGGCAAAAATGTTTGTGAATCCCTCATAGTAAGACAATTATGTGAAGTAACCCACAAGCACAAAAGTTAGACTTTGTTGTGTGTGCATATTACTGCGTCTGTTTTAACATTCATTCTGTGCTTTACTTCAGCAGACTTTTGCCCAGTTGATTTTCCAAGAACTTTTAACATATGCTTGTTTTTATGGAATAGCCTTGCATGAAGCCCAGCATTAGGCCAGAACCTCCAGCTCTAAAATAGTGTTTTAAAGAGACGTTTAAGAGATGAAGATTTTTTTTTCTAAAATGTCTAATGAAGATTTTTTTTCTAAATGTCTAATGACTAACGCTGCTGTCTTTAGACCAAACAGTGCATTTTGCTACCTTCCTCATTGATAAGAAGGGGTCATTATACAGATGTTCATTAATTGCTGCATAGAGCAAACAGTCTTCTCCCCATTTAGCCTCTTTTCCTCTCTGTTACTGAATTTAAGAGTTCCTCCAGGAGCTTCTCTGTGTCAGTTAGAGGCCAGAAATGTTCCGGGGTTGGCTGGCTGATTTACAACACAGTTCTGAATATATATTATTTTATTTTGAAAATTCCGTAACTGATTTCATTATTAAGATAGTAATGAAGCAAGTAAAATCTTCAAGGTAAGGCATACAGGACCTGGCGAGATGCTTGTACTCACAGGTTAATACTAATAAGTATTCTCTTTCTATCTGTCAACTTCTGAGTAAGTGATTCCCCTGGAAATCTAGCCCAAATTACTTTCACTGGAATAATTTCCTTTAATCTATGCGAGAGAGTACTGAAAATGCCCCTGTTTCTCTAGGCTAATATTCACTTAGATAGAAAAGGCACACATAGAACTGCTAGCATTTTGACCCTTTGACCTTTATGACCCTTGTAAGCCACATTTTGAGCCACAAGATTTGTTCAGATATTTCGGAAGAGTTTCCTGGCTGGAGTATTTTCTGAAGAACCCAGTTTTAAACATACTAGAGAAGCTGGTATATGTAAAAAGTAAATTTTGAATGTGTAATTGTACAGTAAATCTGATTCCAATAGGCTGGATTAAAATATTTGTCATAACTGAGTTGCCAGCAAATAATTTTTCTCAAGAGTCATTTGGCAAACACTACAAAATAAAGGGTACATTTGAGCAAATAGGATCTGATTGTGGAGCCTTCATACTCAGGGAAGTAGCTGGAATTTGTTGAATTAGGAATTTTAATAAATCATTCTTCCAACTGTACTACAAATGACCCCACAGGCCTAGCTATCTCCATGTGACTTGTACTTATGAGCAGCAAGAACATGTCTAACATATTTGATTTTTTTTGGCAACTATACATGTACATAAACCCTGTACACTGGCTGGTACCTAAGTAGGTTGTGAATTTTGCCCTTACTCTTTTTTAAGTTTCAGTTAACCAGATGGAGATAGGATTTCCCAGGCCTAATCCTTGCATTTTCAAAGGCTTACTCAGACTTTAAGTTTTGTACTCTGACTACAGTCATGATTAAAATCCTTCAAGGCCCTGAAAGTCTTTCTCAAGTGCCAATACAGCCTTCATTAAGACCTTGCAACAGGAATATTAGTCTCAGGGTGACTGGGCAGTTACAAATATTGCCACTGTGTCTATTATCAATCTGCCAGAAGTTGCATGTTACTTATAAATGTTCATACATTTCACAGTTTTTTCTTTGATGCCTTCTTGGAACAGATAAAGATACCCTATCTCATATCAGGCAGATCTTCACCAGCCCACAGCTGGACTTGAATCCTCAATTTAACCCAAGGATCAAGGAATACTACACAGAAGTCCCATTTGATGTGGTAACAGTGAAGATTGGAGCAGAACCCTCTAACTGTCAGGGCCATGTACACCTTGATGATAAGAAAGGACCAAGGTATGAAGGACAAAATACGCATCTAAAAACAGTAGTATTCTTAACTTTGGAAATACTCGGAATACTTCAGAATTGTTTTGTGTTTCTAAAGACACATAATACCTAAAGACACATTAAAATTGTGACAGGAAAACTCAACATGCCGAAAAAAAAGTCTGTTTAATCTATTTAGCTTGTGCCTTACAGAATACTACTTCCTTAGTAGTCATTAGGAAGTGGGTGAAGTATTTCCCTGCTAACAACTGGAGATTTAAAAGGGAAGTAGGGACAGTGATTCACTTGGAGGGGACCTTGATTGTTATAGAGAGAGAGTTCCTTGATGGCACAAATGACCTATACAACAAACCAACTTTTGCCAGAATATGAAGCAGATACTTTGACACAGAGTGCTTGCCAATCATCAGTCAATCCTATTCAATCAATAGTTATTACTGGTCTAATGACTAATAGACTTCTTGGAGTTTCAGTGAGAAATTATTCCTGATGTAGCATTTAACATAATAAAATAATAAAATGATTTTTTATTATTGACTATTTTTTTTAAAAAAAAGCTCCCACCCACAGAATTCTGAGACCTAGTTAGCTAACAGCCATTACATCCAAGATGGACACATGCAATAAAAAGAAAGTATGCAAAAAACTTTGAGAGTTCTTCCTCCTGAAAAACAAACAGAATAACAGGACACATTTTTCACTGGAAAACAAAAGCTTTGGATGTCCAGGTGTTGTGTTTTTCAGCTTTTTTCATTTCAGAATAAAAGGAAACAAAAACAAACAAAAACAACAACAAAAACTCCAACTTGGCTTTTACCTGTCATGCTGAGCAGTTTGTCTGGGACTCAGTCATGCTTGGCTAGTGAACAATTTCCAGGGATAGCCTGCTCTTCTAAAATCATTTGTTTCCCTGCTGACTTCACAGACTTGAATCTGCCAGGAATTACTGTCCCTAGCTGATTCAATCACAGGTTTCCTGACAGAATTATCGGCACTGGCTGCTGAAGACGTTTTTACAAAATTTCACTGTCAGTACTTTGTCTTCCTGTAAGAATTTTCAGTTGTCTTTACAAATCATATTTTACCTCATTTTTCATCTAAAATCATATGTATTCTGTAAGGAAATGTTAGAAATAGAACCCTCAAAGATTAAGGTAAAATTTAGCAGCCATGGACAAAGTAATATAAATATTTGCTTCCTTAATGTTGATTCCACTTCTTTTTTTTTTTTTATATACATATATCTTCTAGCATTGCAAACTACCCTCTTGGCCTTGGATTGAACAAAGTGGTTGTTCTTGTAACAGATGACTCACAACCCAGCCCTCAGGTTGTGAACAGCTATAAAATCACAATTTATCGAGAGGACCGCCCCAGTCTTCCTTTGTTTGATGACTATACGATGTGTGGTTTTGTGCAGGTATTTTCCATATTTTCTTTCACTATACAAATTTAACTGTTTTTTGTTCATGCGACAGCATAAATTAGGATAGCCTGAGTCAAATCTCATATAGAGTAGTTTTGATGAGATTAGAATCAGAATCCTAAATCCTATAATTGTACAACTTTTGGCTCTACATGTGAGTTCAGTATAAGTGCCTTTCACAGTCAGCAGGCGTTTGAAAGGTCTAAGTGAAATAATAATTACTTGGGTCACTCAAAACCTTACCCATTGCAAATATGTAAGAAAACAGTCCCTCAGAACCCTGTGGCAGACAGACTGCAGTTTTTATAAATATATGTGCCACTGCAAACCCACAGAGTTATTTATTGGTGTTATTGGTGACCCTGCGTGTGCAGGGGGGTTGGACTAGATGATCTCTAAAGGTCCCTTCCAACCTTAAGGATTCTATGATTCTATGATAATGGTGTGTTTATCACAGTTCAAGACACATGATCCTACATTATTTATGGAATGAAAAATATTTATTTCAGAAGACCAACAAATAAAAGCAAAAATCCTCTGATGATTCTTTAGGAAGGGGCGATTTTAGTTTAGAACATGTATGTCTGGAAATAATCTCGACATGCAAATAAAGTGTCGACATGCAAAAAAATAAACTTAAAGAACAACAATCTATAGGAAGAAATGAGTTTGTTGAATGAGAAAGGGTAAGAGTCTGTCCCATAGAGGGAAGGACTCCTTTTTATTGTGGGGAGGGGAAGACTGGCCTCAGGATAAGTTAGACAGAGATTTAGAAGTGAATGAAGGGAACAGTGAAGCTTTCAGGTAGTGAACCATGCAGTGTTAAAGGGTTTCTTCCTAAGACAGAAGATCTGAGACTGGAGCAGAGATCTTTCAATACTGAAGATTGAGGACTAAAAGATAATATTTTATATAGTGGGCAAAAAGAAGACGGTAGAAAGATTCATAGAAGGAAGTGACATGGTAAGATGATTGTCAAGAGTAACACTTATATCTGTAGGGTTTTAGGCAGACTAAAATGTTTCCTTGGTTGATTCTAGATATTAGAGCATCCAGGGACTAATATGTTTCATCACAATTAATTCTGTAAGCATCTATTTTAGAAAACATATTTCTGAGACTATCTTCCCTGTTTATGTGAAGCCTCTAATCCTGCCTTTATTTATCTTTATGAAGATCTCTATATATCAACATATGCTTTACATAAAACCTATTCCTCTTCTTCAGTGGAGAAGAGGTTACTGTAACCAAGGTGGGAGAAAGAAGAGCATTTTACATAAGGGGACACATCAAGAGGGATATTTTTGCTTGTGGAAAAGTAAGCACTGAGGCTTACAACAGGAACCAAAGAGATTATAAATGTTGATAACAAATTGCATGTTGACAATAATTATCTCAATCTGCAAATCAGAACTGTCAGAGAAAATACATGCAGTGGTCATAGTCTACAGCCTGCTGATCTGAATTCCTGATTATGCTGCTGTCTGACACATTTGTTGTCTCTTCCAATTACTCTTATAGATTCACAAGGTCATGGACTATCTTTCTGCTTTGCATGCTGACTCAGATCTAGATCTAGTTGTTGCAATTAGTAGTATTAATATTACAACTAAGATTTCAATTTGGGTGTACAGTGAAGCACCTGACACCTTAGTTGCTCAATAAATATGAAAAGGAATATATGTGGAGCTGATATTATACTGCTAGGAAAACACTGTTTGGGAAGATGTGAGGAAAGTCCTTCTTCCCCCAATTTTGCATGTATCTGGATATAGGAATAGGAATTCAACCTCTTACATATCCTCCCACACCAGAGTTTACATTATTATTATTATTTTATGATAACACAAAATACTAAAACAGACTGTGAGCTCAGCTGAGGCTGAGTGTGAATCTTTGAAGCACTGTCAAGGTAAGGAGATCTTGAATGATTAAAGTGAGAAGTGTTTTAGAAGTTGTTTTTGATTGAGCTCAGCTTTCTGCTCATATGTGAATAACTGCTCTCTAATTAAATATAATTGTTCTGAACTAGGGAGGACTCTAGGAGTTCAGAGTAAAAATGAGATGAAAAGCATTTTTGTGGTATCTAATGAGGGCAATGAAGATAAAATATGAGATTTTAGAGTGGCATTTTTAAGGTATGTTAAAGGCAACTTATCACAGACACTACTGTTACATCTTCAAAAACAAAGCAAGGCTAGTGTTAGAAATAGGAATGGCATTCTAGAAGGCTCAAAAGGCTCTCCTTTTCCCCTGTTTTCAAGAACAAAATTTATATATTACATATGTATTGGTGTATTGTGTAATGGTTTTTGTCAATACAAAACTTAGGCCTTAAATGTCATCATTGCATTCTGCTTTTCATACCAGAGGACAATATGCACCCTTGCAGCATGGGTTAATACGCCTTGATCGATGGCTTGAGTTCTCATTCTCTTAGGAACAAGACACCTGTTTCAAGAGCAAAAGGATAAACACAGCGTGAACTGATGGAGTCTCTTTTGGACACTTGACTAGGCACAACAGGGATCACACATAGGGAGAGAAAGGTCACTGACAGTGCTGTGGTCTTTCTCACAGAAGGCTACAGTTAAAATTCTAATCCAGAGATATTTTTTTCCTGACTTTCTTTTATGTTTAATCCCATTAGGATATTCAAGTTTCACTGCAAACTGATACCATAAGAAAGGTTACAATAAAAAGACGGAGCTAGGGATGTTGTTTCCAGTCTTCTAACACTTTTCATACATTTGAGTAATCCTGGATTAATTTAAAGGCTGCTGGGTTAAGAACTGTGTGGTTGCAAGCCTTGCAACATTTAAAAGACAAAATTATTGTCCTTTCTCCTTTCTGATACCAGTTATAACTCAATTAAAGCCAATTTTTTAAGAGATAACTGTGACATCACCAGAGGTGTCATTATGTGTTTACATTCTGGCAGTATTTTTTGGACTGCAGATGGAAGGGTTATGGTTGGTGCTTTAAATTAATTTCATGCAATTGTTGACAATATTCACAGAAAGAGTCACTGAGAAAAGCAGTGCCATTTCAGTACACCCTGTGAAGACACCAGCACAGGCAGAGTACAAAGCAATCAGGAAAAACACAGTTTTGAAGATAGAGGCACCAACATTACCCTCAGGTGAAGGAGCCCAATGACACTTGCACATTTTGACAAAAGACAAAATATTTTATTCATTCTTGCATTGTCTGTTTTAGTCATTGTTGCATTTTCTATTACCTTTAAAATGCAAAAGGTTTTATCTGTGTATTATTTGAAATGTTTGAGTGCTACCTCTTTCATCATTTTTGCAGGCACAGAAAGTGGTGATGTGCTCCGGGATATAGCTATAAACCTTGAATGTTTATACCTATAGTGTCCTGCAGTCATATGTTAATAATTTTTGTGTTTTTTTCATACATTTTGTGTATTTTCTTAGAGTTACTAATTTGGTTTTCCTTTTGCAATGTGAGTAATGGATAGCTGATTTTATATCACAGAATCACAGAATGGTTGAGCTTAGAAGGGACCTCTAGAGATCATCTAGTCCAACCCCCCTGCTCCAGCAGGGACACCTAGAGCACGTGGCACAGGGTGGCATCCAGGCGGGTTTGGAAGATCTCCAGAGAAGGAGACTCCGCAACCTCTCTGGGCAGCCTGTTCCAGGGCTCTGTCACCCTCACAGGAAGGAAGTTCTTCCTCATATGGAGGTGGAACCTCCTGTGTTTCAACTTGCACCCGTTATCCCTTGTCCTGTCACTGGCCACCACGAAGAAGAGCCTGGCCCCATCCTCCCTACATTTACCCTATATATTTTAGCTAATACAATAAATTCTGTGCATATTTTATATATGCATATCTTTGCCTTTGCAATTACATAAAAAATGAAAAAAAATGTCTTCCAGAATTAGTAGAGTGCAGTGGATATTCTTCCTGTTCTAAAGGAAGATGCTCTTCCTGTTCTGAAGCTTTCTCAGGTTTGAGAATTGAAATAAGAGAAAAAACTTTAAAAAGTTTGAGATTTTTATATGAATAGACCTTATTCTTAGCTACTATTATTTCTTATCAGTTCTTATCAAATTGATTATCAATTTCTTAGAGTCCAGATATCATGAGAAGTCTAACAGAGCCAGTATGAGATAATTACATAGCACTGTGTGACACTGGATCTGTGAGGATACAGTTGGAAACAACATGATGAGTTGTTTCTCTTTCTGTCTACTAAACTTCATTAACTAAATTGCAGCAAAGACTTCAACCTAATATAGTAATGGCATTTAATTTTACTATAATCTTGAAAAATTAGGGAAGAAAAGGCCCTTTGGAAAGGAACATTTAAAACAAAAATACTGTAAAAATAATTTCATTTTCTTTGTCATGTAGATTATGAAAATACTGTTCTTTTTTTGTGATAGAAATGTCCTGAGCAAAAAATGTTTCTGCTTCATTTTAAAATGTGTGCTAGTAGACAAAGAATGCTTTTCCTACCAGATAGTACAAATAAAAGCTGCATCAATTACAGAAAAACAAATTAATTTTGCTTAATTTTGCCCTTTGCTTAATGTTTTAACAAGAAGATTTCAAAAAACCTTGCAAATATTAAACAGCACCCCACAAAAAAACATATTGTGAGAGAAACGAAGAATTTGTCCTGTAGTAGTACAGGCTTGAAGCACATGAGTCTCTCCTGTATTTTCTAATACCTGCATTAGGCTTAGTGTGTCATTCTCTCAAGGCAGTTTGAGCTAATTCCACCTCTTCCGTCCTCTGTTCATGGTGAATGTCAACTGCAGACTTGCAAGTTTTGTAGTACTCAGTGAGGCAGTAGCTAACCTTTGTAACTTTGGCTCTCTTACTTGAAGATACACCAAAAGCATATCTCTGGAAGTGAATATACTGCCTAATTATTTCAGCAAACAGATTATATCTTGTCTGCAAAGTTAGTTTACTTCCCCATTGGGAAAAAAAATCATTACAGAAGCAATCATGCATT